ATTGACAAATAAGCAGACTTGACTTGACTTGACTTGACTTGACTATGCTTATTTCTTAAGGATTAGATTTAATGAGAGAGGAATTAGACCGGACTGAGCATGCTCAGTACAGCATAACAGCGAGGCAGAGGACAGGTACCCCTACAGCAGTTTTCAAGGGCATTTACCTTTTAGTCTGGACCAGAACAAAAGAAAATGAGCAACAGCTGTGTCCAGAAAAGACATAGGAGGAGTGCTAATCAAAAGTGTTTAGGTATTTAAAGGAAAATAAAAGAGAGGAAAAAGAGGGGTAAAGATGAAAGAAAGGTAGACTGATGAAGGGATGTGAGTACATGGAGACAGATTAATGATAAAGCCATAAAGTGGCAGACAGGACTAGCATTCAGCCAAACTATGACCGAATCAGTGTCTGAATAGGGGCTGATGTTTTACTGGACAAAGGGACTATGGTTCAAGGCGGCAACGAGAGGAAACAGGACAGCCCACCGCTATCTAATCTCTGTTTCTGCAGTGGATGCACAAAGGAAGGTCAGCTGAAAAAGCATGAGTAAGGGGTCGTTCATACAGGACGTGTTCTTGCATTTGAAAACAGCTAGAAAAGAATGGAAACATGTTTCCATTGTAACAGGTGTAACAGGTGTAAGTGTTTTTACCTTGACAAGCCATCTTAAAAACACTGATCCTTTGACGGGATGCTGAAAAATATTTTAAAATCACAGAGATCAAAGATCACCATTCACACAGGATGCATTGCTATGCTGTGCCAAATTAAAAGACAGAAAAATGCATCATGTGTCCCATAGAAACGCATTAAATCTTTGCATATGCAGGAACACATGCCATGTGAACTGTCTCTAAGAAAAGCATCCAAGTCATTTGAGGGGAATAAACTGTGCATGAACAACACAGACAGCAGAAAGAAAGAGAACTGACATGGAAAATCCTGTTTATATACTTTTCTGTCAGCTCTTATCATGTTCAAAATGAGAACAGCATTCTGCGCTCATTCAACACGGTTTATACATTATCAGCAATTATAGTGTTCATCACTGTTGGGAAATGAGGCCACTACAATGCTATTACACAACTTTTGAGCAGTTGAGAAGAGTTGCCACCAAACATACCTTTCAGTGTTTGACAACTTCTCTAACTGGGTCATTTTTTGCAAAATATACTTTGTGTACTTTATTGTATGTTTACGAAATACTACACCACAAAAAAAGCACAGACTTGCCAAAATAAGATTGAGGATGTGTAAACATGGTAATCAATGTGGGCTCATCAGATTCTCTCTGATATAACAGAAAGCTAAAAACAAACACAACGAACTTGCCAATAGAACGACATATAAAACCGTTTGCTCAGCAATTATATCTAGCCCCGAGCATGTTGGGAAGGGTACAACAGGAAAAAATAGGGACTCCAGAGCATTTATCTTCATCAGTCCGTGATTGCCTTTAATCACATGCTCTCAATGTACACACTTCCCTTGTCTTTCTTTTTTATTTCATGCTTTATCTTCCCAAACCTCCTCTCTCCTGCCAGAAACTGGTGTGCATATGTAAATCACCGTATGGTCACCACAGCCGTACTCTGCACTACAGAGACTCAAACTGTGAAATCTGTGAACCCCTGTTCTGATGGAGCTCCTGACTGCCAAATCATCACGTAAGTCACATAAACTCAAACAACCTCAGATCATATGTTTCTGCTTTGGTTTGCTTTCTGAATGATGATTATGATGATGATGATCAGGTATAGGCAGTCCTCACAGCCTGTATACAAGCAGAAGCAGATAGCACTCTCTTCTATGCACTTTAAATGTTGCCCAGGATATGGAGGACACAACTGCCTGGAAAAAGGTAACATTACATGCAAATATGAGCAATTTCAGTGTCATTTTTACACAACAAAAACATATGTATACAATATGCGGTAACGCTTTAGATTACAACCCGCAATGTACTGCGTAAGTAAACAGAATTTACAGCGTAATTTTTTTGTAATTACAGTGTACCTATTCAGTACCTCCGTGTAGGTATAATGTAACAATATGCGAAGTTTGGAGAATAAAGGAGTAATAATCTGTAAAAGTACAAATTATTTATACTGTAAGTATTTTGAAACTAAGGGGTACCTATTCTAATATTACAGGGTATGTATGACCTCTTATATTTGCAAGCGATTAAGCAAAAACATACACTGTGCACTTTTTTATAGCCTACACATATAAAACACGCTGGTAATTGTTTCAATCCAAACGCTCGGTTGAGACTGTTGGGTTCGGAAGCTGGCTTGATTTGACCCAATTTGGGTTGATATCAGTAATAACTCGATGTTGCTGGGTTATGAATGTGGAGGACGTGAATGAGAGCATGCAGCAAGTCACGTGAGTTCAAACGTGAACGGCTCTGTGTGCAACGAAATCCGTGACTGCGGTGCTTAAAATGGGAACATGTGTGGAAAATAGGAGAAAACGAATCGAAGCGCAGACGAGGGACAACTTTGAAACTGTCTGGAGTGTGTTCCTTTAAAACTGCAGCAGTGAATGTGGTGAGCACAAACTGGAAACAGCTGGAATGGCGCATGAGACGAGTCTATCCGTGTTTGCGGCGCTCATGACAGGAATATGTGTAGAAAATTAAAGAAAACTAATCGACACGAAGAGGAGAGAGATTGAAAAGAATGTGTTGTTTTAAAACTGTAGGGTTTTGTCCGAGTATGTTATCACAACATTGAGCAGCGACTGATGAGCGGTAAAACCGGGAACTGAGAACTAGTCAAAATGGTGCTTGAGGACGTGGATCATAACGGAAAAAACAAAGATGGTAATATCCTGTCAGTTCGCTATAATACACGGTTTACTCTTGACTTTCAGTGTTTATTACTGTGTGTTTATTGGCGTGATGGTTTGGCCATAATAGTTTAACTAGTCATTACTAGTTAATCAACTAGTCATTAAGTCAGTGGGTGAAAAACATGAACAAATTGAACAAAATCTATTCTTAAACAAGCTTTTCAAAATAATTTGGTTTAACTGTATAATCTGTATAAGTATGGAGTTGCTTTGCTTTTTTTCTGAACTGGTGTAATAAATTTTAATCTTTTATTAGGTTATCTGTTTCCTGTGTTGTTACTGTTGTCATATCCCAGGTAGCCAAAAAGATCTGGCCCGATAACGGCCCAAATCCGGCAAGCCGGAAGTGCATTGAACCTTGATGGTATATCATGCAAAGTTATTTGGTGATAGTGGTGTTGAGAAGTTGCTGGTGTGAAGTTGCTGAAATCGACGAATAAGCTTTCATAAGGTAAGTAGACTTGTGAATTATAAATCATAGCAGAAACTCATTAACTCATTTCACTAGATGTCCAGTTTTGTTGTTCAGTAATCTCCATCATGTCCGTCCTTTTATAATAGAATGTGTACCCCATGGTTAAAAAATACCTATACGCCTATAATAAAATACCAATATAAAATTATAAAAAGTATATATCGTCTTTCTAAATCATTCCCAAACATAAGATTGTTGTTTAGGCCATACATACCACGTAATATTAGAATAAGCACCTCTTAGTTTCAAAATACAGTATAAATTATTTGTAATTTTACAGGTTGTTACCCCTTTATTCCCCAAACTTAGCATATTATTCCCTTATACCTACACGGAGGTACTGAATAGGTACACTATAATTACAAAAAAGTTACACTGTAACTTCAGTTTACTTACGCAGTTCTTTGCAGGTTGCATATCTGGTTGTTACCCCCTTATTACCCAAACGTAGCACATTATTCCCTTATACCTACACGTATGTTCTTTATAGGTACACTATGATTACAGAAACGTACACCGTAAATTCAGTATACTTACCTAGTTCTTTGCGGGTTGTAATCTAAAGCGTTACCCAATATGCCACTTTAAAAGGAACACATCAGTTGAGTAGCCCATCCAGTTTTGGTGACTCATCTGCTGCTTCCTCTTTATCTTTATTTTCCAGGCAAACCTCCAGAGGATGAGAAGCATGCTTTAAAGTCTGAGATTAATGACAATGGCAGTTCAGGCAAGTCTGGCTTTACCTTTAACCTTTCATACCTTTTCTTTTTCTGCAAGTTTGCTTTTTAAAACAACCTTTCTGACAAACAGAGGAAATATCCAGTAAGCCTTTGGCTCAGTGAGTGTCCTTCAGCAGAGAAGCAATGCAAACAATCGTGTTTAAGAATAACAACTTAGTCATGTTCTCCACATATCCAAAATATCTGGCAGATGAATATTTTGATGGAAGAAAATTTTCCCAGACTGTTACCAGAAGCTATCCTTTGTGCCCTCATGCCTTTGTAGAAGTCATGAAACGGTCTAATATGTCATTTAATCTATTCATCACTCTTGCAGTTTAAATCACATTAATCAATGTAATATTTTACTTAAACTTTGAAGTTGGTGTGTTTGTTTACAAGAGTCTCATGTGTGCCAAATATTTTAAGCCTTATATCATGAAAAAAAAAAAACGCTTAGTAAAAATAATTTGTGGTTATATAATATTCTGTAATATCGGGTCATTAAATATAGCTTTCATGGAGTATTTTAAGCACTGTAATCTTCTAGATTAGATGTTTGAAAATCTTGAAGGTCTAAAATAACCCCTCTCAACTGGGCATATGCGTGGGCCCAATATTTACCCTCAAACTTTAGATGTTGTGGTTAACTTGCTTCCCACATTCTCCTTCCAAACAAAATGTGTTTGTTCTTCTCTAGGAGGTAAAATGGGGACTGACCAACTGGAAGATGCAAACTGGGCTGACAAACCTCTACAGGAGGCTCCCATTCATGGTTATTCACCAAATCAGAGTCCTTTTGGTAAGATGCCAAGTCTGTGACCAACAAACCTAGGCACGCAAGGAAAAACATTTAGTTTGACACATTACAGTATCCATACTGTGAGATTTCACCATCAAAAAGTGAACGGCTTGACTACTTGAACAATGACGTCTTCTTCTGGAGGATATCCTCTCTTTCTTATAAACGAACTCCACCATGATGTGATCACCCATAGACAGAAGGAGACAGGGCAAAAAGTCATCAGAGAACCACATGCTCAGGATGAGTCATAGAATAGATGATTGGAAAGAGGTTTATAGCTTCTCCTGGAATCTAGCCTCATTCAAAGAAAATGTTATCACCACTGAGCTCATTCTGTTTAAATGCAAATACAGAAGGAACATCCATTAAAAATGCATTAGCTGTAGTTAGATATTCAGCGACATAGTGAGATGTGTTTGTTTAGGAGGCATGTAAGGAAAGGGTTATTTATTTCTGATGAAAACACCATAAAAGCTCATGCAGGGCCCGTCAGGCACAGTGATATACTCTAGGGACGAGGGTTCTGGCAAGGAGACTGCCTGCATGAGCTCAGCGATTTAAAGCTATTTCTGTGGTTGTGTGAGGAATCAATATGCTGATATAGACATGAAGTCATTTTAAATGTGTATTTAATATGACACACCCATAACAAGCTGAGTTTTCTTCCACTGTTTTCACTTAATAACATCTGAAATGTATAAAAATTGTATGTCTTCAACATTAGAGTGGCTTGTTATCAATATTCCAGGTGCCAGAGAAGGGATCCCTACCTCTCAGCCTTTGCCATTCCTTGATTCATCCATTCTGCTGTCGATGCATCAGTTAATGTCAACTATGATGAGTCAGCTTCAACCAGTGCTGGAAAGCTTCAATCAAACACTGAAGCATCTGTCCAGTGAGGTGCACGCATTGTCTCAGGACTTGCAGCAACTGCGGATGGAAAAGGAAGACAACAGGTCCACGAACAGAGGCGAAAGTCACAGTGGACCTATCGAGCAGAGACTAGAGCCTAGTCATCTCCAGATCAGTCATATGAAAACCCAATTGGATACACAGAAAGACCAGATGGAGAGGGCCTTTCAGGCCCAGCAAGAACTGCTGAAACACAACCTAACAAAACTGAAGGAAGAGGTGGATGATCAGATCGGTCAAAGTCATGATACACAGGTCATTCATTCGCCAGGACTCCTTGAAATGGCTACTCAAAAATCCTAACACATAAAAAGAGTGCATAAATGAACAAATTGTGTGTTATATCAACAGGTGAATCTCCTGTGTGTTATATCAACAGGTGAATCTCCAGTCTCTATCTGAATTGGTTGAGGAGGTGAGACTTGGCCAGAGGAAGCTGGAAGGGGCACTGCAGAGAGAACGTGCTGAGTTTGTCAATCCAAGTGGAGGCAAGCCAACACAGGAGTCAGGAGTGTGGGAGGCCATCACTCAACTACATGAGAAGGCACAAAGTAACTCTGCGAAGCTCAGCAGCTTGTCTGAGACTTCTAAGGACTCTGATAGTGCTGTCCAGGCTCTGCAAAGAGACCTACTGAACCTGGGACAGAGCCTAGAGGAGGTCAAACAACGCACTGAGGTCCACTTTGCAGAGACAGGTCTGGAGGTGGAGGCTACTCGATTCAGGGTGCTCAACAGTGTTGGCGAGCTTACAGCTAACCTAAGTGCACATGAGGGTCAGTTGAGAGAAATTGAGTTTGACCTGGACAACATCTACCAACAACTACATAGAAATGATTCAGTAATTGCAGAGCAAGCCTGTAGCTGTAAATTGATTGGCAGTTCACTAGCTAGGTTGGAGCTGGAGGTGGCTAATGTGACACAGTTAGCAAAAGAGAATCAACGTGCACTTGAGGAGGCAGCTCTAGAAAGGATTCAGGCCACCGAAATGGAGGATCTTCATCAGGGCCTGCTGAATATAAAGGAGTCATTGGCCTTTGAGCAGGGCAGAAGCAGGAGTCTTCAAGACACTATGTCCCAGCTACAGGCTTCACTCCTGGACAGCCAGCAAGAGATCCAAGTCCTGAGACAGCGGGATGAGGACAAGTCAAATGCAATTCGAGGCCTATCAGCCACCTTCTCTTCCCTCCTGAATGATGCTGTACGCCATTCTGAAGTCCTGGAAGTGCTACTCGGAGAGGAGGTCTTGGAATTCTATCGCTGGTCACACAGCCAAAAGAAAGACCTCAGTATCCCAGATCTTTTACAGAGAATGGCTGTGATGCAGCAAAAGATTGAAACACATGATAGGATTCTGGCCTCCCTTCGGAGAAAGCATCCTGACGGGGATGAGATGAATAGCGATGACCCGGTGGCATACTTAGAGGGGCCCGGTACAAATAACCAGGCGAGAGGCCCTGAAAGTTACCAGTCCTCTTTACCAGACCCTTCGATTGGAGAGGAGGATGTTGATTATTCAGTCAGTGACTTCTGGAGTCTGGGAAAAGAGTTGGAGCAATTAGCAGGTAGAATAACCATGTTGGAAGAGCACTGTGGCAACTGCACTGGGCCCTCTGGTGGTTCTGTTCTAGAACTGCAGGCAAATATAGCATCCCTACGTCAGACCCTGGAGGATCATTTGAACATGTTTCAAAACCTGTTCAGCAATACAGAAGAACTAGCCAGCTCGACTAGAAGCCTGAATCTAGATGAAGTTTGGAGACTGGTGAGAAAGAAAGAAGGCAAGAGAAGGGGGAGCCAAAAGCAAGAAGATCTGATCAAAAGAGAAGAAAAGTCTTCCAGTGGACGAAGAAAAAGATACATAGAAAGAGGTAAGAGATCTTATTAATACAGTTATTTAATTTGCCATTAGTTTTGAACATGAATGAAGTAGTAATTTGGTACTGAAAGGCATAGTGGACATACAACACTGCCCCTCAATGGACAACACTAAAACTACATCATGACAAAGCATTTTTTCTCTAACTGAAAATGATACTTTTTACCTAAAAATCATATAATTTCATCTCTTCAGAACATGCTCAGTTACCACATTCCCCCGTGGTGTTCATCACAAGCCTGGACAACAGAAGAGGACCAAATGGGGAGCTCACATCGAAAAACTTGGCTGTGAACTATGGTGGTACTTTTAATCCTACATCAGGGGTGTTCCAGGCAACTGAGACTGGATTCTATCTCTTCTTAGTGACCTTAGACTTTGAGAGAGGCCTTTCATTGGCTGTACTGAAGCGCAGTGGAGTTCCAGTGGCCTCTCTCAGACAGGAACAAGGGGAAAAAAGGGGACCAGTTAGTCGAGCCTCCCTGCTGGAGCTTCGTCAAGGGGAGACAGTTACATTAGAATTGATGCATGGATCACTACGAAAAGCGCAGCCTTGGGACAACACACTGTCTGGACTATTGCTCTTCATTACAGAGCACAAGGACATGCTGTGAAGAGAAATGGGTGAGCAACAAAGGAATGGGAGGATACGTTTGAGTCTGACGCACTGTGCGTCACTTGCAGACATGCTGTATTTTGTATGCATGCAGCCTCTTCTTGAAGGTGCCAAAAATACTTGTTGAAATATTATGTTTTGTAACTGATTTTGGAATAATATTGAGAAAACGAGGTAAGTTAAAGAAATAAGAGGAAGACAGTTATATAACAGAAACAGTTAGATACCACCAGTCCTTCTGTTGCTCTGTGGAGGATCTAATAATAAGGCAAGGAATACATTATGGAACCAGTTTCTATGAGGCAATATGAATAAACAAATGGTACCAGTAGTGAGGGAAACTCTGTACAAAAAATGGACATCCTGCAAATCATGCATTCAAATGATCACATTAAATGCAAATGTCAATCAAGATTTAAACATAATGTTTGTGTACTAAAATAAGGCAATTTACTTAAAAAAAATTGATACATTGGACTAATTCTGTGTACAGAACAGATTTTCTTGGTAAACATAAGGCACCTCTCTTAAAACCAGATATTGTGCACAATTAAAAAAAAAAAAGTTAATATTATTCAGGCCATTTTACGTTTCCTTACACATTAAACAATTAAGTCAAAAGCATTGTGTAGTCATTTATCAAGCCAGATGAGCTTAAATGAGTTCAAATGTGATTTTCGCTAACTGGCATGATTGTAATGGACAGAATAGGCTTGAGCACAACTGCAGCCCAAACAATAAGAAAACACACACAAGCAATGGGAGATCTGAATCTTCAATGCAAAGCAAAGGTTTTTGTACCTGTATAATTTATATTTCCCAGTCTGCTATAATAACTTATTTAAATGCACCCCAATGATATAACTTGATCTTCAAGGCAGAAATGACCAACTTGTCTTTCAAGGCAAAGTACCCTGGTTTTGACGTTAAACCTGTATTTTGTACAGGTAACCTGTATAGTGCTAACAATTTTCATGTATATGAAAGGTGAACTTAAGTTGTCTGTCCTGACTTTTCAGTAAATTACAGATAAAGGGACTAGTTTTACACATTATATCAAAGACAAATAATGATAATTCACCCACACTTTCATAGGAAGTTATTAAATGTAGAATTTCATCTTATAGTCATAAATTTAGTATTTGAAAGGTTGAGCTGCTCTGTAAAACATTGAGAAAGTCACAAGTTACAAGAACAGTGTTAATAGTCCTGCAAGTAAAAATATCTTACCTCAGTAATTCATACTATATGACATGACATGAATAAATAGCACATGCATTTGCATTATTCTATCACATTAGACATTTATGAGTCATATGATTCCCAAGCGTCACAACATTAGATTCAAGGCAAAACTGTTTAAATGAGGCATTGAAAACGGCAATCCAATCTGACACTGATGAATCAGATGTGATATAGTGAGGTTGACTCGAAGGCTACTGGATATAATACAACAACGTTTATGAAGCATTCGGGGGCAGTGGGCATACATCTGCACGGACACACCTGCAATAAGTCAGATCAGAGCTGCCATTCTGAGAGATTGAAAAATCACCATATCTTCTAGATGAACAGATCTTATACGGCAGCTGTGTTGGCAATATTTGACCAGTCATACTTCAGTTCTTCAGGCCAAACAAGGGGTGATGATCAAATTACTCCTGTCATCATACCTGAACTTTCTATTCCTAACAGTGAGTACATTCCCAGTCTTCACAAAACGGGAAGGTTTCAAATAGAATACCTTATTGCTAACACTCAGTTTTGTATTTGAACATCTAATGGACAAATTCTCAGAAAGGAAAGCAGTTGAAGGAATAATTTTTCAAAAAGGCTATTAATTAAAATATCAACATGTAGTTTACGGGACATTTTTTGTTTTATACATATATCATAATATGGGTCAACTGAATTAAATAGGGAGCGTTCACTCTTGATGTTTCAGTGGCCACAGCTGCACAGGATCCAAATGCAGTGTTGCCATTTTTTGTGACGCTAGCCACAAATATCTTGAGCATATCCCAAGCATACAGTTGGGGGTTTAGTCTGAATATCAACCCAAATATGTCCGCCTCCCAAGTCAGTCAATAACAGAGGGTCAATCCTCAAGCCTTCTCCCACAGGGCTCCATTACTGCTGGCACCATGCCACTCCTCCATGCAGATGTATCATATTACACAGCTTTCACAGAAAGCACCACATGTTCTTCAATTCTCTCCCAATATATAAAAGAGTGCCTGAAGAAGGAAAAAATGGTGGCAATGGGGATGATGTGAGTACTGATGCCTGCAGAACTGCTGTCCTTCGTTCCTCGTGGGTCTGTTATGGCACATACTGTCCAGCAGAGGGTGCTACATGACAGCACTCCCACAGGTCTGTTTAGGAAATGAGGCAATAATTCATAAAAGTGAGCATCAATATCTCCATGACTTCTCTCAGACTGGCATTGGAGGGAAAACTGCTCATATTTTGATATCCTGTGATTCAACCATTTTGGCGAGTGTTTTCTTGACTCGAAGAGCTGTGAGGCGAGAGGCTGGGTTGCGTGCCCAGCACTCTGACATGAGCTTTAGCATGGCCCGTAAGCACTGTGTGGAGACAAAACAAAACACAATTGTTTTAAGGTTGCATTTTACACTATAAAATAGTCTGTTACAAAGCAGTGATGTTTAAAGACCCCATGAAATCAAAGGTTTTGTGGCTTTTAGCACATATCCGTTAGCAATGAGGTCAACTATATGGCTAATGTATTCCTACATGTTGACAAAATTAAGTTTGTATAAGCAGATAAGACTGATTGACTTTTAACTTGAAGACATTTACATTGTTAAAAAAATTATATTTCAAATAAAATGTTCTTTCCAATTTACTATTCAAAGAATCCTGAATTAAGAAATGTTTCATGAGCACCAAATCAGCATATTTGAATGATTTCTGAAGGATCATGCGACACTGAAAACTGGAGTAATACCTCCTAAAAATTCAGCTTAGCCAAACCCAAATTTTGGAGTTATTCAAAAACGTATTCAAACAGAGCAATGTTGAACTAAACCGCAATGCTAGATCTTACCTCGTCACTGTTCCAGCGGTTAGATACCACTGGCCGCATGCCTTTAACACATACCACTTCCCTCATGTCCTCGTAGGACGGTTCTGAAGGTACCATGTCCCAGTATGGCAACTGATACTCCTCAACAATACCTGCACATAAAATACCATTATTAAAACAAATCCATCACATATTCAGAAAGGAGAGACATAAACATGCTTTGAAATGTGTACACATTATCATAACCTCACATACACTCACACAACACACGCACAACTCACCTCCTGTCACGCATCGGCGGGCCATCTCCCAAACAATGAGACCATAGCTGTAAATATCAGCCATTATGTACGCTTGGAATTGGTTCTTATTTAGGGTCTCATCCAGGACCTCTGGTGGCATGTACCGTCGTGTG